CGAAGCCAAGAGAGGATGGGTCGAGGAGCTCCACAGCGTCTTGTGGGCATACCGCACCACACCCCACTCAACGACGGGTGAGACACCATTTCGACTGACATATGGCACCGAGGATGTCATCCCGGTCGAAATCATGGAACCATCCCGACGAACAGAGAACCCCCTCGACAAAGAAATGAACGACGAGGCACTAAGGGACGAACTCGACCTAGTCGAGGAAATCCGATCGGGTGCAGCCCTGCGCGAAGCCACCCTAAAACAACGAGTGGCTCTACGCCACAACGACAAGGTCATCAAGCGCGAGTTCGAAATCGGCAGCCTGGTATTACGTAGGAACCAGAAGGATTCCCGCGAAGGGAAACTGGCCGCGAACTGGGAAGGACCTTATCGCGTCCACGGCACCACTGGTACCGGGGCGTACTACCTCGAGCAATTAGACGGAGAGCCATTACCACGACCCTGGAACGCTGCTAAGCTAAAGCAGTACTACAGTTAAAAACTACCAACACCCGGGACCCTCGACCAACGGCACCCGCGCTCGGTCAACGAGGAAAAACGTCTGACTTCGTATAAAGGCTAAGGTACAAGCCCGACATACAACCAAAATCGAACAACATCGCTTGGCAAACGAAGACAATCGATAGTGCCCGACATGGACAGCTACACCGAGCACCACCGTCGTTGTACCCGTAAGGCAGAACACCCAGCTCGCGATGGGCAGTTCACACCAAGGGCGAATAGTCCCTACCGGGCATCGCCCCCGACTGAGCAACTTCGCTCCACATGCCCGACAAGTCGTCAAGAATGACGGGCCATCTGAAAGGGTCAAAGGGAAGTCTCTCCCCTCGAACATAACACTTAGGTGACTCTGGCCAGCGAAAGAGGGCCGAGCACATATACAAACGGAAGACGAGCAGACTCGCTCGCCAAATCACAGCCACTTACGGGCACTCCTCGGGCCCATGACTTAGGCTAAAATTTTATGCAAATATATAAGATTTCAAGCACGGGCAAAACATTCAAATGTAAAACAGCATTCATTCAAATAAAAATGCCCGAAGGCGACAGAGCAAACAATTATAAACCGACCAAGAAGACCGGCGATGTTCATAACGTACAACTGACGGGCACGCAGGCCCAAAAAATACAAATATCAAAGGCACGCAGGCCCGCTATCCTACAGTCAGGCTTCCCCAGAACCATCATTGTTGACGCCTGGAGAGTCGGGCGGGGGCACGATCACGCCATCCACGATCTGATGTGTGTGGCCTGTACCCTCAGTGACCAGAACAGGGTTCAACAAGGAAAGCTGACCGACTGCAGAGTCGAACCCCTCCTCTAGAGCACCGACGCAATCTGCCTCGAGTAACCGGATATGGGCGACCAGCTCCGATCGACTCTTCAAAGCCGCTATGTCTTCCGGCTCGTCCTCGGCAGGAAGCATGGCGATGTTCATTTCCTCGATCTGTTGGGCCAAGCGCCCGACTTCGGTCTCCAGACGGTCCCTGTCCGCGCGGAGAAGCTCCCCCTCCTCGGCCAGCTTCCCTGACCTTTCTTTCTCCAGGACCAACATCTCCCTCTCAGCATCCAGCATCGCTGTCTGCTCGCGGAACATCTCCTCGGAGCGTTCCAGGGCAGTCTTCAACTTCCGCGAGCTCGAGGCGAGAGCCGCTTTCTCCTGCTCCAGTTCTTCAATACGGACAGGATCCCCCCCTTCCTCGGACAACACCAGGGCCATCTCGGCCATTTTCACCAGCCCGTCCATGCTGGCGGCCAGATGCCTCTTCCGATCCTCCTTGCTCATACTTTTGATGGTCTCAGCCTCGTCGGCAACCACTGACAGAGGGAATCTCTCGAAGAAACCCTCCTCTTTGAAACAAGGGGTAAACCCGAAAGACCTGACAGCGCTGGCGTCCTTGCTGACAGCCGGACCACTTTCCACCCGGGTCCTCTTCCTTTGTATCAGGACGGCATTAGGATCGACCTCTTCAACCTCCGGGGTCCCGTCCGACGCGGCCCCCGAGCTGGGCAGCGAATCCACCCTCACCGGCTGAGGAGCACTCGGACTGTGTGGCGGGCCCATCCTCGTCGCCTGGGGAGCCTTCACGACCCTCCTGCCTCGCTTTTGGTCGTAAGACAACTTCAAAAGCCTTTCCCGTCGACCGGCCATCGAACCTACACAAAATAAAAGACGGGTTAGTATCGAGCAAGTTCATAAATAAATGACGAGCAAAGAAATTCAAGCAATAAACAACCTAGCAGACGAGCAGCCTGCCTGTACGTCTGGCACTCCACGAGTGCCTTAGTATCAATCGGCCGGGACTCAAATATCGGATAACCCTCTGCATCCAAGACATCGTCCCCTTCCCTCGTGGCCCACCGGGCAGGGTGGAAGCTGTCGACAAACCGACAAAGTGTGGCGTACGCCTCCTCGTCCTCCGAGCACATGTCCCCGGCAGCAGTATGGTAGTATCCAGTCCCGTGCTCGTAGTGCCTGAACATCCAGTGCACAGGGAACTTGGCCGTACGGGCCATCACGGGATTCCCATCGTCGCCCAAAACCGCCTCCCCGTCATCATCGCTTATGGGCGCCTCCTCCTCGTACAGGGATCCCAAAGCAGAGGTGGTAACTGGCCGCACAACGTACCACTTGTCTTTAAAATCCCTTACGGAGTCCATATACATTTTGAAGAGTCTCCTCGACTGCTTTAAGGAGACCCAGCTGTGTTTCCTTCCTCGGGACTGGCGCTGCAGATGAAAAATCCTGAAGAAGAGCGGTATGGTCGCCCCGATCCTCAGAAAGTGACACGTCAGCTCAAACGCCCGGATAAAGGCGAGTGAGTTCGGATGTAGCTGAGACGGGGCCAACTCCAGATGGGTGAAGACCCCGATCTGAAAGTCACTAAAGGGCAGCTGCAGCCCAAGATCTTTAAACGCGATCTCGTACATCGGGAAGTTGTACTCTGGGTACACCGAGCAGATCCGTGCACGGGAGGTCGGGCGCATGACAACGAAATTCTTCTGGAAGTCTGGCTGGCCCTGGCCCGCTTCGAGGACAGCATACGGATTTCGGTCACGCCGTCTATATATCGACACGATCCCTCGGGGCTTGGCGCCCACCAAATCCAGCAAAGGGTCATCGACAGTATCAATCAAGCTGACCGACTCATCGGCACTTTGTTCTTCATGTTCGTGGCGCCCAGAGGAGCACGGCTCGTCCGCCATGGTTACCTGCAGAGCACGGGAAACCAGTCAATTGGGCACGAAGCCATACGCTTGACAAACCACGTCGTCCCATGCACGACCACAAAAGTTAGTTTACACGAGTAGTCGCCTCCCCGACATCTAGAAAATTCGATATGTTCTTCTCCAAGCCGACTACGCGGCCACTCTCCAACATGTCGACCCAAGGTATGTACATGGCGAGCAACATCATGAGACTTACGACCAGGACCATGAACATACCGGGCGCAATCATGAATCAGGCGCCCTGGATCATGAAGACCCCGGGCAGCGCTGCTGATTATCACCTAAAACTATGAATATACCGGCCACAAGCATGCGTTTGCCGATCCTAAGCATGAATATGTCGGGCTAAGCATGAATATGTCGGGCTAAGTATGAGTTTACCGGGCTAGTCCCACGCGCACAGTCCCTAAAACATCTACAAACGCTGAAAATCATGCATTACAACAGGAAAATGAAGAAGATAAACCACTTACTTGAATCAAAAAGTAGGATTCGGCTGCGGAGTAAAAGAATCTGTAACAGAAGATCGCGGCTGGGAAAAATCTGGAAAAACAGCAGCAGTGGGAGCACAAAGAGTAGAAACGTGTTATGGGGCCCAAGGTTCCTATTTATAGTGATGACGTGGAATACCAAACGTCACCTCGGGCAGCCACGAAGTTCCTCTCCCCGACGTGCTGCTCCCAATGCAATGATGACCCTATCACCATAGGGTGGCGGCACAGTTCCCGAAAGACACCTCGTGTGCTCGACAGACACGCGCCGGTGAGGATCCTCCGGGCATCCACCGCGGAAGATGTCCCCGAGCACGGCACGGAGAGGCCCTCGAGGGTCTGCATCTCTGTCCCGGGCGCGAGACCCCGATGTGGAAACGACCTGAGTTCAAGCCATGGCTCCTCACAAAGGAACCACGACTTGGGGGGCTCCTATTCTGGACTGGGCCCGACAGGCCCAAAAGCATTGCTAAGGCCCAATCCAAATGGACTTACTGAGGACCACGCCGACCAAAGGGTCACAGTCATGCCCGACGTGCTCTCACGTGCTCGACAGCTACACCTCCGGCTCGACATACTGCTGTCCGGCTCCACATCCTGCTGTCCAGCTCGACATCCTGCTGTCCAGCTCGACATTACCTCAAGCACCCCAACTAGGGCAGACTCAGTCCACTGCTCTCCCAACGAGACCCCGAAAAGACCGCGTCTTCGTCCGCCCGCACTTCACGCAGAACATCCAGGAAGGGGACCACATGCGGGTCCCCACTATGCACGTAGAACCTGACAGTTCCTCTATTGGGCCAAACCTGCCTGGCCCAATGAAGGAACCTTGTCCCAGCGCTGGGGGCTATAAATACCCTCTGTTTCCATAGGGTCAGGTATTCATCATTCTAACCATACACTTGTTATTACCTGCTCGTACTTCTACTTACTTCAGCATCGGAGTGCCTTGCAGGTACCCCCCCCCCCACTTTGTTCAAAAAGCTTTCTGCTCGGAGCCAGCCGTGACGGTCTATTTCTGATCCGGTCAGATCATATACAATGAAAGAAATAGTTGTATAATAAAATGAGAGAAGAACTTCGACAAGTTCTTAACAGTATAAAATCAATATATAACAATCATTTCGTAACACACTCACCTTTAAAAAAATGTGAATCAAAATAGTGTAATGACAGCCTTATTGTTCTATAAAGAAACCCTTCACCATCACTTCAATTCAGTCAGACCCTCTCATTATTTTCCTGTCTATCATAATAACAATGTTATCCCAACATTTTCTCACTTTGTTCTTCTTCCTTCTCCTCTCTTGCAACACCATCACTTCTTCAACATCATCCTCACAAAATGATGACACTTTTGATTTTGTTCGTCCAATAGATCGCAAATTGTTAGACCTAAACAAGATGGAAAAGCTACGTCATTTAAAATTCTATTGGCATGACATAATGACTGGAGAAAACCCAACATCGTTCACAGTTGTTCCATCACCTTCGAAGTTAAACTCTACCTTTTCTTTTGGTTTAGTCGCCATGATGGACGACCCTTTGACATTAGGACCCGAATTGAGTTCCAAACTTGTTGGAAAATGTCAAGGTTTGTATGCTTCTACATCACAGGATAATTTTTCTTTTCTCATGGCTATGTTTATGGTGATTAACTCTTTTTGGTGTTCTAGTTTTTTCGTAATTTATTTGTACAAAATGGCATCGCTATAATCACGTGTTTCTTGCATATCTTTAACACAGATAATTTAGATTTGATATGAAGAGTTATTATTTAATTAATAAAATATCACAAAAAATAATTTTAATTAAGAGTTTTAAATAGTTCAAATTAGTTTTTAAATTTAATTTGATTTATTAAATGGTTTAAAATAACTAATCTAATTTATTAATTATTTAAGTAGTTTAAGTTTTTATGATGCAACTAGTAAGAAATTCGTGCTATCGCACGGGTCCCGTCTGATATTCACATCAAACGTCTATTAAATTATCACTTATAAAGTTTGAATTCATTCTTCAATTGATTAAAATTAACATAGTTATAAATATAGGTTAATAATATGCACAAACGTGTAAGCATCGATTATACTTATAATAAAATGTACAACTGATTCTCTAACTTCAATTATATAAAATAATTGTAAAAGAAAAGTTTAAAAAATTGATATTAAAATGAACAGTCTACAACTGGTATCTCATACGTACGTTCACATCTACCTGTGGATTTATAACTGTTAAATTGAAAAAAAATAAAAAATTATTAAATTGATCACTTGACCAATAGAGTATTAAGTCTTTAATGTTAATCGAATTTTATATAAAATATTCTACAATTGAGAAAAAAAATGTACAATTTATTAGTAAGAAATTTGTTAAATTGAAAATGTTAATTATAAAACTAATTTAACAAATATAATTTGTTTTATTAGTAAAACTAATATGATTAATTGAAATTTTTAATAATTATGACTAACTTTAGACTTTGTTCAAAGTGTGTTTATATTACACAAAGAAAATAATTTTGACCTGCAAAGAAAATACTGTGAGGACATAAAGTAATCTTTATTTTGTAGAAGAATTCAATGCATTATAAGTCATTGATTTCTATGATGTAGAGAAGATTACGTAGAATCCAATAATAAGTATCTACTTATAATAGTATATGAAACTATTATATATAGAGTAATCATATTGTAATTCATAATCATCCTAATCATCCTAATCATCCTAATCATCCTAATCATCCAAGAGTTTGCTACAATTGTGTTTCTTCTTATTCCTACACTCAACTCTCAAATTTTACTTGTGCTATTGTTATTATTATTTCATATTATTCTGATACCCAACAGTGGTATCAGAGCATTTGGTATTGGTCCATATTCCGCTGTAAATATTATTCACGGTGAAATTGTGTAAGCCGGTTTAATAGGAATTATTATGACGGCAAAATTTGAGATTGAGAAGTTCAATGGGAGTAATTTCTCCCTATGGAAACTGAAGATAAAGGCAATCCTGAGAAAGGATAATTGTTTAGCAGCAATTGAAGATAGAGCTGAGGGATTATCTGACGAAAAATGGAATGAGATGGATAGCAACGCTGTTGCCAATTTGCACTTAGCATTGGCAGATTCAGTTTTGTCTAGCGTTGCCGAAAAGAAAACTGCAAAGGAGATTTGGGATGTTCTCATCAAATTGTACGAGGTCAAGTCACTTCACAATCGAATTTTCTTAAAGAGGAGACTCTACACTCTTCGAATGAGTGAATCCACATCTGTGACAAATCACATCAACACTCTAAATACAATGTTTGCTCAACTTACATCGGCAAATTTTAGCATAGCAGAAAATGAACGTGCAGAATTACTACTTCAGAGCTTACCAGATTCATATGATCCACTCGTTGTTAACTTAACAAATAATAATGTTACAGACCGTCTATACTTTGATGATGTTGTCGGAGCTATTCTTGAGGAAGAGTCCAGGCGTATAAATAAGGAAGATCGTCAAGAAAACTCAAAACAAGTAGAAGCTTTGACAATGACAAGAGGCAGATCAGTGGAACGTGGCCCTAATGGGAGTCAAAATCATGGTAGATCAAAATCTCGAAGTAAGATGAATTTGAAATGCTACAATTGCGGCAAGAAAGGGCACTTGAAAAGAGATTGTTGGTTTAAGAAGAATGGTGAGAAGTCTTCTGAGGCAAGTTCATCTCAAGGATGTATTGCCAATACCTCTGATGATGGAGAGATTCTATATAGCGGAGCAACAAATAATTGCAAAGGTAGTAAACAACTCACTGATGTTTGGATAATTGATTCAGGAGCAACATGGCACATGACTCCTCGAAGAGATTGGTTTTACACTTATCAACCTATCTCAGAAGGATCTGTGTTCATGGGAAATGATTACGCCTTAAAAATTGCTGGTGTAGGTACTGTCAAAATAAAAATGTATGATGGTACAATTTGCACAATTCAAGAGGTACGACATGTGAAAGGTTTGAAGAAAAATTTATTGTCTATTGGACAGTTAGATGATCTCAGTTGCGAGACCCATGTTGAAGGTGGGATCTTGAAGGTGGTGAGAGGTGCTCTAGTAGTGATGAAGGCAGAGAAGTTATCTGCAAATCTATACATTCTTATGGGAGAGACATTGCAAGAAGGTGATGTGTCAATTGCATCAACTAGTCAAGAAAACTCAACGACAATGTGGCATCGCAAATTAGGCCACATGTCAGAACGAGGCTTGAAAATTCTTGCAGAACGTGATCTCTTACCCGGGCTCAAATCAGTAAGTGTATCTTTCTGTGAGCATTGTGTGGTAAGCAAACAAAATAGGTTGAAGTTTGATAGATCAACTACTAAGAGCAAACACATACTTGACTTGATTCATTCTGATGTGTGGGAGTCACCACAAATGTCCCTAGGAGGAGCAAAATATTTTGTATCATTCGTTGATGATTACTCCAGAAGATTGTGGGTATACCCAATCAAGAAGAAGTCAGATGTGTTTTCAATATTTAAGCAATTCAAAGCACTAATTGAGCTTGAAACTGAAAAGAAGATTAAGTGCTTGAGGACAGACAATGGATGAGAATATACAGACGGTGATTTTTTGTCATTTTGCAAGGAAGAGGGTATAATGAGACAATTTACAGTTGCTCATACGCCTCAGCAGAATGGTGTAGCAGAGCGGATGAATAGAACTCTCCTAGAAAGGACTAGAGCTATGTTACGAACTGCAGAATTAGCCAAGTCATTCTGGGCAGAAGTCGTGAAAACTGCCTGTTATGTGATAAATAGATCGCCATCAAGTGCAATTGGTTTAAAGACTCCGATGGAGATGTGGAAAGGAAAGCCAGCTGAGTATTCTACTCTACATGTAGTTGGATTTCCCGTGTACGTGATGTACAACTCCCAAGAAAGAACTAAGCTAGATCCAAAATCTAGGAAATGCATATTCTTGGGCTACGCTGACGGTGTCAAGGGGTATCGCCTGTGGGATCCCACTTCCCATAAGGTTATTGTCAGCAGAGATGTAATCTTTACAGAGGATGAAATGCAAAGGGAGCAGGAAAATGATAACACTTCTAAAGATAACACTATTGTTCATATAGATGGAAAGTCTGTTGAAAATGACTCTTTTGAAGAAGAACCAGAGCACGAGGTACAAGAACTAGATGAACCTGATGGTGTTGAAGTTCGACGATCAACACGTCAGAAAAGGAAACCAAATTGGCAATCAGACTATGTTATGGCAAGCCATGATGCATATTGTCTTCTAACCGAAGATGGAGAACCATCAACCTTTCAAGAGGTTGTGAGTTGCTCAAATGATTCTTTGTGGATGGCAGCAATGCAGGAAGAAATGGAAGCCTTACATAGAAATAAGACATGGGATCTTGTTGTACTTCCTGAAGGTCGGAAAGCCATCGGCAACAAATGGGTCTATAAGATTAAGTGTGATGGTAATTGTTGTACCCCAAAATTTTCCCTCCCATTTCCTCAACATTTTCTCACCACAAGACCCTTGGAGCTCAAGGCCAATTTAGGGTTTACTCTGCTCAAGACTCCTACTTACACTGTTGACCCAAATTAGGGTTTGAGTTTTCACAAAGATGTTTTGACCTAAAATGCCTAAGATGACTTTCATGCTTCATATTGGACTCCCAAGTTTATCCATACCAAATTTCAAGCCTTGATTCCAATCTTTGACCAGTCAATTGGACAGTTGACCTAGAAATCAGCTATATTGGGGAAAAAGTCAACTGTGGTCCATTGACAGTCAAACCTCATGATTTTTGACCCACATCAACATATTGAACTCATATGAACCATTTGGTCAAGTTTGGATCACAATTCCACAAGAAATTTGATCAAAACACCAAAAGGGCAAAATGGTCATTTTTAGGGTTTTGACTGCACAAAGGCAATTTTTGACTGTTTGACCTAGCCAATGGAAAACCAAGCTCACATATGGACTCAAGATCTCAATTGCTTTGTCTTGACATGTTCAACAAGTTCCAAAGATCCCAAATGCACAAGATTGACAGATGAATTTTCCAGTCAACTGAGCCAAATTTGATTGTATACTGAAAAGTCAAACTTCGACTTTTTGGTCAAAATCAAGTGTCAAGATTCATTTTTCATCAAGATATGTCAAAATATGAAACTTGTTCATCAAGAAATCAAGATTCACAAATTAGGGTTTAAAATGAAGAATTTTCATAACTTAGAAATTTTCTAAGTTATGAAAATCCCTAATTTTTTCCTAACTTTGTCCCATTTTTTCATCAAGATACATTTGGATCCAAGGAAAACTCAAAACATGAAAGTTATAGTCCATTGCAAAATCTACAACTTTGATTCACAAAGTTTCCTCAAAAGAAGCTTGTAGCTCAAGTTATGATTTTTGGAACAAGGGTGCAAAACATTCTTAACTTAGAAAAATTTTGACCTATTCTAGGCAGGATTTTTGCCTAACTTCATGGCCACTTTTCACATGCTTCCACTTGGAATTTCAACTTGAATTACAAAGATGGATTGTAGTACACATTCCAAGCTTTCCAAAATGTCCAAGAACTCATCAAACAACCTTGTGGTTAGGGAGAATCAAATTTGGCAATATGGGCAAAACTCACTTTGTTCATGAACCATTTCCATGTCCATAACTTTGCATTTTTGAACTCAGCATGCTCTAAGCTAGATTACAGGCCTTTTATCTCATCCACACTCAATAATTTAATGCTAATCCTTTGTGCCAAGATGTTGTTCTATGAGTTTGGTCATTACATGAAAGATTAGTCCTTAATTAGAAAAAGTACTTTATCCATTTTTGAAAAGTATGGCTTTATGTCAAATTTGCAAATCAAGAGGTACAATGCATATCTTCTAGACACAAGCTATTGGACATATCCCACTGATCAAGACAAAGTTTTGCAGCACATTAGAGGGGCCTAGAGGAGCCTGTAACAGCACTTGGCATTTTTGACTTACATTAGAAGAAAACTTGGCATATTGAGATCCAACTCTCATTGCTGCAAGAATTAGCTTAGACAAACTTGTTAGACACATTCCAAACAACATAACTGAGCTAAGGCACGACCAAAACACCTTCCAAACCTCACCATTCACAAAAACACCATTGTACTACACAAAAACAGGGCATCCCTGCAACTTGACTTCCACAAACACTTCCACTCGTGCGTTTTGGCTGAAACCTTTGCCAATACATTCCCTATCACCCATTGAAGCTATCCCAAGCATTGGACACGACCTGTAACACCTCTAACCAACTTCACCATTTTCACTTTTTCTGTTTTGCAGGTGAACTTCTATAGCTTGATATAGCAAGTTTCAAAGCATACCAAGCATTGGAATAGCATCCCTGGACTTCAAGAAAGTTGTATCAGTCTTCACCTTGCCTTGAAAGTACCTCCATTATCAGATACGATCCAAGCTGAACAGGTAAGTTCATGGACTTCTATCTCTCAACCTAGGAAGAGTTAGCTTTAAGTTTGTGAATGAAAAATGTCATATTCATGTCCCTGAAGCCACTCTTATCTTCACTTCCCATTTATATTGCATATGCTGAGAGAATTTAAGACCTGAACATTGACAAAAACTTAGGTTAAGAATTAGGGATGGGGAAATTCTCTCTCATTTATGAGAGTTAAGTTAAGTTTTTTATATGTATGGAATCGTGGCTTGATGCTTGACATTTTTCATGTTATAAGTTTGTGCTAAAAGTCCAGGAATTAGGATGTTTGAATCAGTATGTAAAACGCGCGTTTTTGGAACAAAGTTTGCTGGAGGTTGAAGAAGATAGGTAGTGGGTTGGGCCTGATTCTGTTTCCTTTTTGCACCACTGCATTTCACATGCACCCCCCTGGCCCATTTTGAGATATATTTGTCATTTTTCATTTTTTCCTTTTAATTTTGTTTCTATATTTTTATTTAAACATGAAAAAACATTAAAATTATTTTTCTCACATTTTTTTGCATTTTTTAGGTATTTATTTGTTCTAACTTGATATATGTAAATAAAATACATAATATACTTTTATTAAAAAATACCCAAAATAATACCAATACATTTATTTTCTGATTTTCATTTTATTTTATCTTTTGAAAACATTTTATAAAAATATACTTTTTTTGTAAATATTAAATATTTTATTTTTTTGGATATATTTAGTATATTTAGTAAATATTATAAATACTAATATATTTATTAGGATATTTAGGACAAAAATACAAAAATATACATTTTTTCATTTTTTTTATATTTAACATTAAAAATGCCTTTTTGACAAATATACTTCTCTTTTATTTATTTTTTTGCATATAATTAATAAATATCGTATATAATACATAATAAATAATTAATTCCTTTTATTTAGCAAAATTAGGGTTTTTGCCCTAAGCATGAAAATATTCAAAAAAATTAATTTTCTTTTAATTATTTTTATTTTATTTGTGAATAAAATATACACTTACACAAAAATACCTTCACATACATATTGCTTTATTCTTATACATCTTTATATTTACATTTGCGCAATTCGATTTGGTTGTAAATATTGGACACCACTCTCCTATGAAGTCTCGTCCCCATTTGAACATTTGTACCCCCATTCCCATGATCATTGTGTAATAACTTAGGACCTTTAAATTTCGCACTTTAAAGCTTTCTAATTATGCCATGATAGAATTAGGGTTTTGTATGCAAATCAAAAACAACAAATAGTTTGACCTAAATTCAAGATAAACAAGCATGAAAATGGACAACACTAATCACACTCACACCCCCTTAGGGTTACTCCACTTGTTGCCTTCAATAATGGGTCATATTGCATGTTAGGTATCTTTGGCAAAAACAAAACAATCAAATGATCATAGTCCCTCGATGACGCTTTCAAAAGTTGCCTAAAAAATGATCAAGTCCCTTAAAGGAAAAATTGCCCAAAGATACTTGGCACCATTGCAATCATGGTCTAAACGATGACCCGCGCCCGTCCCGTTCACATCCTAACACAAGATTGCCCACCAAATACAATGGTGGAACAAAATTGTTAAAAGGGTTAAAACATAGCAAAGATCTTTGAGAAATCTAGGGTAGATAGCTCTTGGTTACTTGCCAACTTGCAAAACAAAAACACTTGCCTATTTTTCAAAACCACACATCACTACACTTTCAAAAACAACTTTCAAAAAGATTGAAAAACCTTTTCAAAAGACATACACCTTTGTATACATCCCAACATGGATCATTACAAAGGTTGCCACCACATTGGCCTCTTCTCAAAAACATTTTCAAATCCACACACAAAAGCACCATTTCAAACAATTGAAAATTAAGGCAAGTTGATCTAAGCAAGTAACTAAGAGCCCATGGATAACCATGGATAGAAAGGGTGCTAATACCTTCCCTTTCTATAATCTACTCCCCGAACCCAAGAAAACATCTCAAAGGTTTTTTGCTGTGCTTTTTAACCTTTCCTTAGGATAAAATAAAAAGTCGTAGCGACTCTTGCTCAACCGAAACATTTGCGAATACAAAACGCAAAACTCAAGTCAGTTCTCCCACCGTATCACAGTAATGATCAAGTGGAAAGATATCGTGCAAGATTAGTGGTTAAAGGGTATGCTCAAAAGGAAGGAATTGATTTCAATGAAATATTTTCTCCGGTGATTAGACATACCACTATCAGGGTAGTGTTAGCTATGTGTGCTGTTTATGATTTACATCTTGAACAATTGGATGTAAAGACTGCTTTTCTTCATGGAGAACTTGAAGAAGAAATATATATGCTCCAACCAGAAGGTTTTGAAGAAAAAGGAAAAGAAAACTTGGTTTGCAGGTTGACCAAATCTCTGTACGGTTTAAAGCAGGCGCCGAGGTGTTGGTACAAGAGATTTGATTCTTTCATTATTAGCCTTGGATACAACAGGTTGAGCTCAGATCATTGTACATATTACAAGAGGTTTGAGGAAAATGCTTTCATCATTTTGTTGTTGTATGTGGATGACATGTTGGTGGTAAGCCCCAACAAAGATCAAGTCCAAGAATTGAAGGCACAATTGGCTAGGGAGTTTGATATGAAGGATTTGGGACCAGCAAACAAGATTTTAGGGATGCAAATTCACCGAGATAGAAAAGATAGGAAGATTTGGCTTTCTCAAAGAAATTATCTACGAAAGGTTTTGCGGCGCTTCAACATGCAAGACTGTAAGTCAATATCTACCCCACTTCCTATCAATTATAAACTATCCTCAAGTATGAATCCTAGCAATGAAGTGGAGAGGATGGAAATGTCTCGAGTACCCTATACATCAGCGGTGGGAAGCCTTATGTATGCCATGATATGTACAAGGCCAGACATTGCACATGCAGTGGGAGCGGTCAGTCGGTTTATGGCAGATCCTGGTAAAGAGCATTGGAATATTGTGAAGAGGATTCTGAGATACATTAAAGGAACCTCAGATGTTGCGTTATGTTTTGGAGGATTAGAGTTTGGTGTCAGAGGATATGTTGATTCAGATTATGCAGGTGATCTTGACAAAAGAAAATCTACTACAGGCTATGTGTTTACAATTGCAGGAGGAGCAGTAAGCTGGTTATCCAAATTGCAGACTGTTGTAGCTCTATCTACTATAGAAGCTGAGTATATGGCAGCTACCCAAGCATGCAAGGAAGCTATATGGATTCAAAGGTTATTGGAAGAGCTCGGATACAAACAACCAAAAATTATTGTGTATTGTGACAATCAAAGTGCCTTGCACATTGCAAGAAATCCAACTTTTCATTCCAAGACAAAGCACATAGGAGTTCAATACCATTTCGTTCGCTAAGTAGTAGAGGAAGGGAGTGTGGACATGCAAAAGATTCACACAAAAGACAACCTAGCAGATGTTATGACAAAGCCGATCAACGCTGACAAGTTTTATTTATGCAATTCTTCTTATGGCCTATCTAAAACGTAGCAACATGGAATTAACAAGGGATGCAAATTTTTTGAAAGCAAACAAAATTACTTTAAGTGGGAGATTGTGGGGACATAAAGTAATCTTTATTTTGTAGAAGAATTCAATGCATTATAAGTCATTGATTTCTATGATGTAGAGAATATTACGTAGAATCCAATAATAAGTATCTACTTATAATAGTATATGAAACTATTATATATAGAGTAATCATATTGTAATTCATAATCATCCTAATCATCCTAATCATCCAAGAGTTTGCTACAATTGTGTTTCTTCTTATTCATACACTCAACTCTCAAATTTTACTATGCTATTGTTATTATTATTTCATATTATTCTGATACTCAACAAATACATGTTGGAAGACATTAGATTATAAAATATTATATATTAAAATATAATATAGATAAGTTTGTGGAAGAGCGTAGATAACCTCTAATGATTTATGGCATACGTTAGAGCTAAAGGAAAGTTTATTGCGTTTGAAATCGAGGCAAATGTGGTTGAAAGAAGGAGATCAAAATTCTCGTTTTTTCCATAATTCCCTGAGGATGAGGAATAGAAGGAATGCTATCAATTCTGTGGAATCTCCGAACGGTAGGGTGGAGGATGTGGTAGGAGGATGTGAATTTTTTAAGAAGAATTGGGAGTTAGTCAAGGAGGAAGTAGGATGTTGTGTGAAGGACTTTCATTCAAAAGCTAGGCTTAAGAAAGCTTGTATGGCTTCGTTTCTGGTGCTTATCCCGAAGGTGAATATCCTCAATCTTTATCTGAATTTAGACATATTTGTCTAGTGGGATGCATCCACAAAATTCTTTCTAAGATCCTAGCAGCTAGAATGAAGATGGTGATTGATAATATTGTCTCCCCTAAACAGTCAGCTTTTACTCCGGGTAGAAATATCACTGACAGTATACTTATGATTAACGAGGTTCTGGACTTGGCCAAAATAGAAAAGAGAAGTTGTATGGCGCTAAAAGTGGATTACGAGAAAGCTTATGATAGCGTAAGTTGTAACTATCGTAGATTCCTGCTCAATAAGATAGGATTTGGGCTGGAATGGATGAGTTGGATAGAGGCTGTAGTGTTCAACAGTTTGATGTCGGTTCTAGTGAACGAGAGCGCGAAGGAGGGTTTTAAGGTGGAAATAGGCTTGCGCCAGGGAGATCCCCTATCTCATTTCTTATTTTTTATAGTGATGGAGGGTTAAATTAGAATGATCAAAAGGGCGGTGGAATTAGGCGACTATCAAGGATTCAGGTATTAAGGAGATTAGCAGTATCTAAGGTAAGTTTCTTTGGAAAGAGAAGAGAAGAAAAGATCGATACATTGGGTGAGTTGGAAATTTGTTTGCAAACCGAAGGAAATGGGGGGTCTGGGAATTAAAGATATCGGAACTATGAATTTGGCTTTTCTGTGTAAGTAGAAATGGAGGATAATCTTGGATAACAAAGCTATTTGGAGCAGTATATTGAAGTACAAATACAAATTCCCTGAAGCAAAATTGTTCATTAACAACAAGAAAGTGATCGAGAAAGGGAATTCTATTTGGTGGAGGGACATTGTTTTGGCGGATTCTAGCACGGGCGGAGGTAAAAAAAATTCTGATTGTATTTTATGCAGGCCCGGTAACTGGAGCAAATTATCTTTTTGGTATAGCAAGTGATTAGGAAACCAAACTTTAAAGGACGCTTATCCGGAGATCTTTGCCAGTTCTCATTCGAAGGAGATGAAAGTGGACAAAGAAGGGCAGTGGGAGGAAGGCATTTGGTCTTGGAAGGTTCAGGATTTGGTTATCGATGTCATTGACTCTAATATTTGGGAAGAATTTTTGTCAATTCTGAACCAGGTTGTGATTATGCAGCATTCGGAGGATGAGTTTAGTTCGGTTTTGGAGGTTGACAAATTGTTCTCTGCTCATTCTTACAGCAAAAGCTTCAAGGTCGATTCTGTGGCAATTGTGTTACCGGAGGTAGATAGAGGAGCTTTGTCGGCGATGTGGAAAATGAAAATCCCATCTAATTTGAAACTATTCAGATGGATATACATTTTGAATAGGTTACCTACGAGAGAGAAATTAGGCAAAAGGGAGATTGTGGTGAATGCTAACGATAAATGTTGTGCATTTTGTTTTAGTGAGGAGGAGACCAAGCCTCATCTGTTCAAAGATTGTGTCATTACCAAAAGGATTTAGGAGAAAGTTTGGAATTGGATTGGAGATTTGTCGCCGCTTTCTATTGTCGAGTTAAGATCTTTCCTTTACAGTTAAGACAAAATTACGAATAATAAAGATAGAACTGTTATAGGTACGATTTAGATGGCAACAGTTTGGAATGTTTGGCTTATGCGTAATGCTTTTGTGTTCAAAGGTAAGAGCTTTAGCTTTGAAGAGTGTTTTTCGGCCTATTGTTTTTATTTCATGGAAGTGGATGTGCATAGACTGTAAGCCATCTGTGTCGTGTAATTTTCCTGTTTGGAACAATTTACCTTTACTCTGTTTCAGGAATTAAGGTTGTTCCTCTGTTGGGTTCTGTTTTTGGTTCACTGCTTGTAACCCGTTTATTAGTAATCCAATAAATTGCTTATTGAAAATAAAGTTCAATTAAATCTTAAATACAACTAAGTGGTTGTGAGTATGGTAAAATTGTTGATCACATCGTTTAATTGATCATTTTTATTCAAACAGTCCATTTTCCCCCTAAATGGCACTAAAAAACATCATAGTATTATTGCATAGATAGAAAATGACGTGTTTTTGTGGGACTAAAAGAGATTTTTGAGTTTGGTAACAATTTTAAATTTGTGCGATTAAAATCTTATTAAGTTTCCACATTATATGCAATAATATATTATGTTGAATTATTGAGTGTATTCATTCAAGTTCCGAGAAAGAGAAAAAAGAGTTGTGGTTCTTAACACACTAAAAAAAATTTGAAATTGCGAGGTGAATATCACCTCATGATAACACTAAAATACACTGTATATTTGAATCAATTTGTACATGTTTTGTTAGTTATTTTATCTCTATTTCTAGTGTTATGTTGGTATTTTACCCGTATTTCAGGTACTTGATCATATGAGAGTCATACGCGAAAAAATGAAGAAATTCTGATGAAAAACGAAGAAAATGAGCAATTTACACTCAAGGCGACTAACATGACGTTCGCCATAATAGAGGTGGCTATGAGTTGTATGACGTGTTCCACGCCCCAACGGTCATAAAGACCAAGTCATGTCAGTTTTGTGAAGGTGAGCTTGACTTGGTCTCCCACTTCCTACATTCATCCCTATGTTCTATCACACGAAGTCATCAACTTCCATTTGATTTTTTAGGGTTTTAGAACTCTATAAATACCAGTTTAAGCATATTTTACAAGCATCGAAGCTTAGCACAATCATAAGCTTCGCCACTTATAATAGTACTTTTTAAGTGCTATTAAAGCCTCTTATTTAATAGCGTTAGATCTATATTTTGTCCTTCAGCAAGAATTGAACCATGGACATACTATTTGCAGTGAACGCTTCTTACCACTTCTTACCACTAGACCAATGCATTTTCTTTGTTACATATATGCATCAATAAATATTCATATCATTAACATATTAATTACAATTATCAATAAATTTTCTTAACTAGTTGGTTTAAATAATTTTTAAAAAAATGTTTTACATATTTTATCTTTTTACTGTAACTTTTTTTAAATTTTAAATTTTCAAAAATCACTTAAATTTTCAAAAATCACTTAAATTTAAAAAATCACTTAAATTTAAAAAAATCACTTAAATTTTCAAAAATCACTTAAATTTAAATCACTTAAATTTAAAATCACTTAAATTTTCAAAAATCACTTAAATTTTCAAAAATCACTTAAATTTAAAAAAATAACTTAAATTTAAAAAAATAAGTTAAATTTAAAAAAATTACTTAAATTTTCAAAAATCACTTAAATTTAAAAAAATCACTTAAATTTTCAAAAATCACTTAAATTTAAGTGATTTTTGAAAATTTAAGTGATTTTTGAAAATTTAAGTGATTTTTTTAAATTTAAGTGATTTTTGAAAATTTAAGTGATTTTTTTAAATTTAACTTATTTTTTTAAATTTAAGTGATTTTTTTAAATTTAAGTGATTTTTGAAAATTTAAGTGATTTTTGAAAATTTAAGTGATTTTAAATTTAAGTGATTTTTGAAATTTTAAGTGATTTTTGAAAATTTAACTTATTTTTTTAAATTTAAGTGATTTTTGAAAATTTAAGTGATTTTTGAAAATTTAAAATTTTAAAAAAGTTACAGTAAAAAGATAAAATATGTAAAACATTTTTTTAAAAATTATTTAAACCAACTAATTAAGAAAATTTATTGATAATTGTAATTAATATGCTAATGATATGAATATTTATTGATGCATATATGTAACAAAGAAAATACATTGGTCTAGTGGTAAGAAGCATTCACTGCAAACAGTATCATGGTTTGATTCCTGCTGAAGGACAAAAAAATTTTAACTTTGAATTAACACTCAATTAATAAAATATTAATATAAATGCCATGTGGAATTAAATTTGTCAAGTAACAATTGGAACTTTTTTTTGGCAGGGGGTTTTTCAAATACACCCCATATGTCAGGGGTGAAAATAGGTATTAACCCATTTTTTTATTCTTATGAAATATTTTTTATACCTGTCAGATATTTTTTAGTGATCCAATATACTAAAAATTAAAACTAACGTTCTTCTAAATATGCAAATATCAACAATATGTCATACTAGAAATGAATTTAATTTGTACAATACAAAATACTCTCTAGTCATAAATCATAAGTTATTTGACATTGATGGCATGAAATGTTATCCTACTTGTTTTCTAGTGGCACGAAAGAAGAAATCAGTTATATCTAACTTTTTTCATCAATTTATTTCTTATTAAATTATATGCACTAACAGTAAAATCAAATTGTATCATGATCATCTCCAATCATATACCTATATATGTCTAATTAACCTTCGAAGGATGTCAAATTTGCATGTCAACTTTGTTTGATTTAATTATAAGATGAAATTTCCAATAGAATATTCACTCATTCCTATAGCAGTTTGATTACACTGATAACATATATAGTGTAGATTTGTTTTGAAATAGCACATGCAAGCTATAAGGAGAAGATCTTGAGAGCCTATATTATTTAATTTCATAATGTACTGTTAGTGTATTACAATTTCAATACAGTGTGTCCTTTTCATTTGGTAATAGTATATTAAATCACGTGGTTCATACGAAATTGAGAACTTATCAATTTGTAAGAAGTCGCGTGCTACAATTCTTTGCTGAAAAGATAAACATTGGAATATTGAAGTGATTTTACCAAAGTTCATGAAATGAAAAAAATAAGATGCGGTGAAAAATAATACACTTACATTATAGCAGTAATGAAGTATTCATAATATATAGAATGAACAACCAGTGCAGGAAGATGATTGGACTGAGGTGAAATCTACTGGCAGACGCAAAGGGAAAGAACACTCAGAGTGAAAAGGAGTAATGCTGAAGTTGTGAGAAAAAAGATGGGCACCAAGTGGAATTGGCTTGACAATTATGATAAGCATTTCAATGGAAGGATATGGCTTATGTGGGATAATATCAAGTTGCTGATTATACACATGGAAAGTTCTGATCAGTATCTCCATAGTTACTCTTAGCATAACTTAGGTTGTTTAGTTTTGTGATACATTTGATCCCTGTTTGGGATATCTATGTTGCCTGTTTGGATTATAATAAAGTTTTATTCTTCCAAAAAATAGTAATTTAAAATAATTTTGTTTTTCAAAAATAATAATTATTATAAAAAAAAATTTCTTCAAAATAATAATAATATAAAATTTATTGTATGTATTTATTTCTGTTTTAATATAGTATAATTTTAAAAATACAATATTATTTTTTTAATAAGATATATAGAATCTATTTTGAAAAATTATAATAACATAGAATCTATTATTAAAAATTGAAACTATAAATATTATAAAAATTGTTTTGAACATAATTAATGAATATCAGTTTATACAACAAATTTCCTAACCTAAAAACATGATTTTATGATATCCCTAAATTTCTAACACATTTCATATAATAAAATTTATGCATAAAATAAACAGTCACGTTTTTATCATTCAATCATAAATAAAAAGAACAAATCTACATCGGCTACCACATTCAACTCAGTATAAAATAATACAAAAACTTAATTTTAGATGTGTATCTTAAACAGATGAAAGGAAATTGATGAAAATCTTGAAGAATATTCTGATCCAACTCAAGTTTTGATGATAAACCCAGTAAAGATTTGATGAACTTATTAGAGGGTAATTTAGTATTTTGTTATTTGTAGATAAGTTTTAATTAGGGCCTATGTGGCATTATTATTTGTGTATAAATAGGTGTACTAGGATTACATTTATATCAATCAATTCTCCAATCATTTGCAGTCAACCTTTATTGCATTTATTCCCTTTCATCTTCTTCCTCAAATTCATCACCTTGCACTAACAAATTGGTATCTAGAGCACTTGGTTTGATTCTGAAACTCTGGGAAACACGAGTGATAGTGAGCTGTGTGTTTGATTTTTGATTCTTGAACAAAAATCTGAAACAGAATCACACTGATTCTGTGGGTTTGGGAAACACTGAGTGAGAATCTGAGATCTGAGTTTTTCTGTGCAAAGGTTTAAGATGAATGGAGGCAGTAGTTTGAACACTAAACTTCCAGTCTTTGATGGTAAAAACTGGAACAGATGGAAGATACAAATGCGTGTGCTGTTTGGTGCTCAGGATGTTCTGGACCTTGTCTCTGAAGGTTATCTTCCAGTTGCAGCAGATGCTACTGAAGAACAGAAATCAGAAGAAAGAGCTACAAGGAAGAGGGATCAGAAAGCACTGTTCTTCATCCATCAGTGTGTGGATGAAAATGTGTTTGAGAAGATTGTTGATTCGACGACGTCGAAAGGGGCATGGGATATTCTGACCAGATGTTATGGTGGTGACGTATCAGTAAAGAAGGTAAAGCTTCAGTCCCTGCGAAAACAATATGAAAATCTCAGCATGAAGAACAGTGAGAAAGTTTCTGATTACATCTCCAGATTGATTCTGATCACAAATGAAATGAAGGCTTGTGGAGAAACACGTTCTGAACAGGTAATC